CCTTGGTGCAGCCGACGCGCTGGATGATCTCAATAAACACCGTGGGCCTGCGGGGCACACAACCGGACAGCGGCGCCATGGTCGTCAATCAGGCGGCCTGTGGAGATAGGCCCTTCTGTCGCTCTGTACCCTGGATGCCGCATAGCAAGGGCCACGGCGCTCTTAATGATCAACCACTGCCGGGATAGCGCCCGCCCGCCCTGCCCGCGCGCCGACACCACAATGCGCGCAGAGCCGCCCCCTCGACTGCCGCCCGCTGGCGGTACGGGCGCACCTGTCCCCCAGCGGCTTTGTGAAGATCTGCATGAGCACCCCCTGGTCGTCCTTGTCCACCAGGATGCCGAGCTCCTCCACTGCAGCATACTGCTCGGCTGTCAGCACGTCACCCTGTACGGGATTGTACGTGTGTGTGTGTGTGTGTGTGTGTGTGTGTGTGTGTGTGTGTGTGTGCGCGTGCGCGCAGCAGGAGCATGAGGAAGGGTAAGAGTGAATGAGAGAGTTTGAGCACACCGTGCCCTGGGTATTAGCGATGAAACGGGGCGGATGACAAGTAAGGAAGGGGTTAACGGGGCGCGTCGAGAACGCTCGGTGGGCGTGCACGTAAGAATTTAGAGAGAGCGGAGCACTGCTCACACCCACAGGACGCAGACGCCGCACTCCCAACGCAAAGGAACAAGGCCCCAGAGCAAGGCACCTACGATTCTGTCGGGCAGGGTGCGGTAGTACGTGTCGTGCAGCCGCGGCATGAACTCAAAGCCACCGGCGTCGCTGCGGGCGCGCATCTCCCGCATGGTGGCGATGATGTCATTCGTCTTGAGGGCGAGGTGCTGCAGCCCGGGGCCCTCATTCTGCTCCAGGTAGGTCTAGATGGGGGGGCCACATGCGCAAGGGGGGTCCGTGGGTACGCAGGTGCGTTGGCTGGCGCGCTGGTTGGCGCGCCAGGCAGGCGGTTTGGCCGCTTCCCCGTCTCTATTGCATGGAGGCAAAAGAGCTGGGTAATGATTTCAAAATGACAGCCGGGACGCCGTTGTGGCCCTCATGGCCAAAACAGGCAAGAAGCACGCGCTTTCCAATAGGAGGCGCCGGCAAAGACGGCAGAGTAGGATTTGTGTGCTGTCAGGGGCCAGGCCGGCTTGGGTGGTCTTGCTGAATCTGCGCACCTGGATCTGGCTCTTCCGCTTGGTGCCAAAGACGGGCTCATTGATGGGCAGCAGTACCATCTCATTGTTGCTGGCCAGGACCTGGGGACGAAGGGCGGGGTGGTGTGCAGCGAGGAGGATGGAGCAAGTGAGCCGACGAAAGGGCCGGGTTGGACTCACGGAATGTGTCTCTGTAATTATTTGAGGGCAGGATCGACACAAGCCTGCAAGCCCGCGCGATGGCGCGTGCACACGCAGGGTTGACGCGTGGCGGGGCCGCCCGAAGGGTGCCGTTGATGCTGGATGCGTGGAGCCCCTGAGGTCGGCGCATCTCTGAGCGCCGCAGCCGCACCATGCTGTTGAGGCCGCTGTTCTCTGTGCCCACGTCCTTCGACACAAACTCTGCAAACTCGTGGAACCCTGTGGGGGCATGAGATGGGGGAAGGCACGGGGTGGTACATTAACGCAACCCCAATTATCCCGCCAGATTGCAAGGGGGCTGTAATCCATCAAATGGTCAAGCTTCACGATCCCCACAAATTAAACCCCTCATCCTCCACGCGCGTGTGCACACACCCATACCCGCACACACCCACACACCCACCACACACACACGTGCGCCTGTGGGCAAGTGACCATGCACATGCTCGCGCTTGGCCTCCCGGCCGGCCCACCCGTCATGTTGACGATGTAGGAGGCCGTCTCCACCAGGTTGTGAGAGTTGCCCACGGCGTGGTCCAGCCGCCGCACGCCGTAGCAGATCCGCGGCGCCTCCGGCGTCAGCGCAAAGCCCGGGAGGTAGGCGCCCTGGCGGTGGGTGGGTGGGAAGGGGGCCGCGAGTTGAGGTTGGCATGCAGGGGGAGGGGCCCGTCGGTGTGCAGAGCCAAGAGGCGGGCCTGCTGCTGCTGAACTCTCATCAAGGCCCCGAAGCAGAGCAGCCACGCTGCTCCAGGCACCCATATGTAAACTCACCGGCACCCCAAGCGCGCACATGCACAACGACAACATCTTGCTCGCACACACCGTGTGCGAATGCGCGCGCGCCGGACACCCTCCCCACGGGTCGCCGGCAGCCGGACCGGCGACCCGACCCCGGGCCACTCTCATCCTCTTTCACCTTGTAGTCGCCACTGACGAACCGCAGCACCACGTCGCCATACAGCTTGACCTCGCTGATGACCGCGCTGCCCCCGGCGCCACCTTCGCAGTCCTCCAGCCGCGTGGGCGCCAGCACGCCGACGCCGCCGTTGGCCGTGGCCTGGGCGTACGCGTCGGCCGCGTCCTCCACCAGGATGCCTGGAGGGCGCGCGATGGGCGGCGTTTCAAAAATTGAACAGAGCATGCTGGGATTGGCTCAAATTATTCGGTCGGCTGTAAAAATCTGCTCAGGGTTCAAACTTCGGTGACGGGGTTGCCGGCTCGGGCTGCCAATCGGGGTTTCTGCTGGCGGCGGGACCTCTGGAAGCACCCTGGGTCTGTCTGCGCCAGCGGCGCGCAGCGGGCGTGCGTGCACCCCGACGCCGGGCCCTCCAGAATCGCCCGAGACTGCCTCGATGCGCGCAGGGGCCGCGCGCTCACCGACCGCCCGCGCCGCGAGGCCGTGCATGTTGAGGAACTCATAGGCGGCCTCTTGGCTGTACCCCGGCAGCGCACCGCCGTCCCCCTGCCGCGGGGCCTTCCGCGAGTATGGGGCTGTGAAGGAGAAGACCAGCTCATGCGACTGCAGAACGTAGGATGCGAACAGGGCGTTGCCGGTGGACTGGTCGGACTTTGCCACGAGGGTCATGCCCAAGCCATGCTGGAAGCTGCGGGGCGGGCGGTGGTGTGCCCGTGGGAGGGGGGTTAGGGC